AAGATCCAGATACTAAATATTGTTAGATTCTACAGGCCACATGCTTTCTGTACTCAACTTAGCATTGTGAAAGTAGCCATAGACAATATATAGACAGATGGGCATGGCTGGGTTAATTAAAAAAAAAAAACAACAACACTTTATTTAAAAAATAGATCTCTAGCCAGGTGCAATGCTGCTGGCCTGTAATCCCTGCACTCAAGAGGCTGAGGTGGGAAGATCACTTAAGTCTGCAAGTTTGAAGAATAACAAGAACAGGTAATGGCACACATTTCAGAAAACAGTTTGGCAGATCCTCAGATAGTCAAGCATAATGTTAATATATGACCCAGCAATTGTACTGCCACATATACCCAAGAGAAAAATTTTAAAAGTCATTATAAAATCCTGAATATAAATGTTCTTTTCAGTGTTATTTGTAAAATCTAAAAATAGAAAACAAACCAAATACCCATTAACTGATTAAGAGTTTTATATCCATAGAGTGGAATATTATTTGGCAATATAAAGGAACCAGATTTTGACACATGTTACAACACTGATGAGCCTTGAAGAGGTTAGGCTAAGTGAAAGATGCATAAAACCACATTTTCTGAGATTTTACTCTGCAAAGTGTTGGGAACAGACACTTCTAGAGAGAGAAGGTTGAACTGGTGGTTGCTTAGGGTTCAGATAAGTGGAGGAATTGGTAAGTGACTACTGATAGGTATGAAATTTCTTTCTGGAATATTGAAAATGCTCTAAAAGTAGACTATAGTGATAGTTACACAACCATGTAAACATACTAAAAAGCCATCAAACTGTACAGTTTAAACAGAGGAACTTTACGGCATGTAAATTGTTTCTTGATAAACGTTTTGAAAAGTAAATAAATACAATGGAGAAACAATTAGGTGAGTGGGCTATAGGGCCAGTTTGCTCTTTCCTGCTTCATATTTTTCAGAATTCTAGCATGTTTATTCAAAATTACTTATAGATCACTCTGCTTTGTGAAATGCTTGTGGATTTAATAGACTTTTTGATTTTAGCTTCCTTGTTAGTTTTCCTTCTGTTTTGGAGACTTCTAGATTGCAAATAATCTTGAGTAGAAAGCATTTGCTCCTTTTCTTTTTCTCTGATTTTTCTCTCTGCTACCTTTCTTTTGAAAGGTTTTGTTTTTGCTTCCTCTCAGGCCTCCTTGGGCTGACAGTCCATAAAAGAGGACCATTTTAATGTCTTGGGCCTTCTGTCTCCATGGTGACATCATGGATGGGTAGATATGATGTGAACTCTGAACACTTGGCCCTGGTTCTTACTGAGATGTGTTGTTCGTCTTCTCCTGCCAGATTCCTTTAAGCCTTCCCAAGCTTCTGCAGCAGCTCCTTTCTTTCCATGCAGCATCTATTGCTCTAGTCTGTCATGTGTTAGGGGCTTTTAGTTTCCATTTTACCATCATAGCATTTGGGATTCTTCTACATCTACCTGATTCTGGCCCCACAGAACATCAGCCAGCTCACTTTTTATGTTTCTGCTCTATTTTTTAATGCACTGAGATCTTCATCTTTTTGAAAATACTCTTTTGTTTTGCTATTTTGAACTGTTATGTATATGGAGCAGAGCAGAAGGCAAAGCATGAATTTATTTACCATGCCATTCTGATGGGATATTTTACAGGTCAGTGCAATAAAATTTAGCAAGATTCAAACAGTGTCAAGTACTCCTGATTAGTGTAGATAAAAATTTTGTTCCTGGAAATTTTGGATTGAGGTAAGTGGGGCCTATTTAAATGAAGGTTACTTAGAGTAGTTTACACTTGGTCAGTCCAAGGTCAAAGTTGAACACATAGTTTTGGGAAACAAACAATCATAGAAAAAGAAAAAAATAGTACTAATTGTCAAAACGTTCAAGGGGCTATCTACAAAGAGAAATCATTTCATTTTGATAAAATATATAATGGCTCCTCTTCTTTGGGGGAGTACTGTTCTATTGAACTCAGGGGCACTTGACCACTGAGCCACATCCCAAGCCCTATTTTGTATTTGATTTAGAGACGGGGTCTCACTGAGTTGCTTAGCCCCTCACTTTTGCTTAGGCTAGTTTTGAACTCACAATCCTCCTGCTTCAGCCTCCAGAGCCTCTGGGATTACAGGTGTGTGTAATCGTGCTGGGACTAACAATTCCTCTTTTTTCTTTATATATATATATATATATTTGTAGATGGAAACAATATCTTTGTTTTATTTATTTATTTTTTATACGGCGCTAAGGATCGAACCCAGTGCCCCACACATGCGAGGCAAGTGCTCAACCACTGAGCTACAACCCCAGCCCCAACAATTCCTCTTAATACTACATTTGGCTGGGATATCCATTTTAAACTGGTAGAATTTTATGGCATGTTTATGATTATTAATTTAGTCATTTTTTTCAATAAACATTAATTATGTCTCTGTTATCCACTGAGCACTCTGCAAGGCCCTAGAGATATAAAGATAAATAGTAAATATTAATTGACCTATTTAGTGAAGAAATCAACATACACACCTAAACCTAAACAAGTCATCATTCAGGTCTATGACAAGTGCTATGACACTAGGAGTAAATACTTTAAGGTCATGAAAGAGGAAACAGGTAATTCCAATCTGCAGCAATTTTGTAAAGAGGCAATTCCAAAGGCTTCACAGACAAGTTAGAATATTGAGACCTTTGGGAATTTCTGTAAGAGAAGTACAGTGAGGCCAATGGGAACTACCTTATCAAACACACAATTTTTACTTAGATTACAGGATATTTTGAACAGCTTTGGGGAGTTAATGAAGACTATGGGAGGGTGAGAAGCCCCTTCCAGTTCTCATCCATCCTCATGCTCCCCTTTCACTGAGCACATAGGGGTTATCAACTTATCATGAGATACTCAAAGTAGAGGCCTCCTTATGTGAGAGACATGACAGGTATTTTAGGAAAAGAATAAACAGATTTGCAATGTCAGGATGCAGAAAACAGGGGAGATCTGTAGGGACTCTTAAGAGCTAAGAGTCTAGGCTTCTATTTTGGGCAATGAGGAAGACCTTGTTTGACTACAGTGAAGTGAAAGTATTCACTTCATATTTTTGAAATATGACCTCCGAGATAGCAAAATGGTGAAGAAAAAGACTAGAAAGAGAGAGACTAATCAGAGTCCAAGTATTATCTCAACTATTGAACTGAATTATCATAGGAATAGGGGAATTAGAAATAACGTAATATTTGAAAAACAATAACAAAGCAATATTTCTATTAATATTTCATTTCAAGAGAGGACTCCCTACTTGAGATAGAATTGTGCTGGAACTTTTAGCATTATGATGAATGCTTGAGGGCTGCTTTTCAGATAATTAGAGTATAGTTTTATCTATTACATCAGTGATGGATCATATCCAAGAGGTGTATGGAGTGATTTAGGTCTGCAAAGATTAACTCATTGTGTTTGCCCCTCACATATCACCATTGATGATATGCAAACACTGGCCACTATTATTATAAATAAATAAACAAACTAAACAAAACTTATTATTTAAGGAAAGAAAAAACAACAACTTTTCTTTCCAAAAAATAACATCTGTTTCAATAAAATAAATCTAAGTTGAATAAAGCACAGCTTTTGGATAAATTCTGTGTCTCCATAAAAATTAGGACTCAGGAAGCTGAGGCAAGAGGATTGCAATTTCAAAGCTAGTCTCAGCAACTTAGTGAGGACCTAAATAATTTAGTGAAACCCTGTCTAAAAATAAAAAAAAAAAAGTTTAGGGATGTAGCTCAGTGGTAAAATACTCCTGGATTAGATCCCCAGTTCTCTCCACCATAAAAAAGTAGTATTTCTACATTATGAATTATTTTTATTGAGGAATTTAAGATTACTCATAATTTTAAATAATATTTCTTCCTACATAATGATCACATGTGGAATGAGAGACAATAGAGAAGAGCTATCTAGATACCAATATCTTAAAACCACCACACAAACTAATCAGAAAGAGTCTCTTTTCTTCATCATATTAGTAAATTTTTTTTTGCACCTTCCTGATCCAGTTCAGGAACTAGAAGACTTTTTTTTTTTTTAATGCTAAAGTGACACCTTATAAGTGACAATATCTATTGAGTCCTTTAAAATATATTAGGCACTGTTTTAGAGATTTCCTATGTGCTATCCTGCTAAAATGTGACGGGCACTTAAAATGTGAATAATTCCTCTAAGACTGCCATTCATTTGACTTCAGATCTGTAAAAGCTTAGAAAAGAGAAGATCATGGGCCTAAGAGGGATCTTCAATGCTGTATCTTGATGACTCACACAACACTTCAGTGAGAGTTTTTGTCTGTAGGTGTGTGGTTATTGTTCCTAGTTAAGAAAATTCCCAGGAGACTGGAATCTAACAACAACAACAGCAAAAGAACCAGATCATAAAAACCTGTGTTAAGTGTGATTCAAAGGGGAAAAAATGAACTGCAGTGAAAGCCAATTTGAGCTGGAAAGACTTGCACTCTTAAGTAACCGGACATGTGTAGTCACTTAGGAAGCTGTCTGATTACATATGTTTTTAAACATCTGTCAGCACAATCAGAGCGCCACATGCAGAATATAGTGCTTGCAAGCATTGTGGAGGTTTGTTCAACTGTGAAGAAGTCTCAAAATCTCCAGGAAATAAATTGGTTTCACAAGCTGAGTGCAGATTATTATTGCATGAGTTGAGGAAAGCTTGGGAAGCGGCTCCCAGTCTGTGTGACTCATTCACATGGACCTTAATACCTTTAGGACAAAACTTGACAGCAGCAGGCCAGCCTACAGGGCCCTGAAGAAAGAGATGTCAGAAGCACCAGAAGCAGGAGACACTGGGGAGGTAAGGCTTAGTTTAAGCCTTAAGAGCTAAAAGCTGAGCCTAACATTTTTCTGGGTTTTGTTTTTTTTTTTTTTAATATTCACTGACATTTTCCCACTACTGAAAAGCTCCTATCTCCAAAATGCAAATAGAGTTCTTTTCAAACCTGCAGCGTTGGTTCTCCCTCTGAATACATCATCGTAGGCTTTCCACTGTGGCTTCACCTGGTAGGCGTGGATGAACACCACGAACACCACCACCAGGCACATCAAAGGAACAAGGGCCGCGGTAAACAGGGCTGCGTAGATGTTTGGAATGAAACATCTGGAAGACAGTAGGAAAGAAAGAGCTCAGACAACTTCAATATAAACGTTTTTTTTTTTTTTTCAATTCAGAATGTGTCACTTCACTTATAACTAGCTCTTTGTATCTAGATGGTGGCCAAATTGAAGCTTTGTTAGACAAGAGGCTACCTGCTGAAATCTACCCATGGCTTCACAAATTAGGTTCTATGGAAGTTCCTGAGAAGCTCAGAAAACTTCAAAAAAGATTATGGTCAAGTAAGAGTGAGAGATGTACATTGTATATATCTCAGAGATTCAGGGTGCAGATCTGCATTTAAAAAGACTGTAGGAAGTCACACAGTCATCATACCTGGACTCTGGAATCAGATTGTCACTGAATTCCAGCACCACATCTTAAATAATGAGCAACTTTTACATGAAAAAATGGGTCTCTTCTTTTCTCTTTCTCTTAAGGGCCTTATGATAGGACTCATGTTCCTTGGAACACACTTTGAGAATCATTGATTTGGTCACATCCAGCTTATGTTTCAAATTAGTCCATGTTTTCCAGGGAGAGTCCAGGGCTCATTTCTATTGCCTCCCTCCATCTAACCTCAAATAAAGAAGAATACCATTAGGGTTTCAGGTCATGGGGCTGATTGTGGAGTTACTATGTCCTCATAGGCCTGATCAGGTTTCTATGGCTCTAAGGGCTGTGGCTGCTTCTGCATAGAAGGTGCTAGGCCATGGCTCCTTTCTTCTCCTTCCTCCCTCCTTCTTCTTTCCATCCTCTTACTTTCTCTATCTCCCCATCTTCTTTCCCCCTCCCCTTTTGGACTCCTCCTCCTGGCATAAGTCCAATTCAGGAAATAAAGGATGAAGGGTCATGTAACTGTTAGGGAGCTAATCATAAAGCATTTCTTTGCCTGGCTTTGCCAACTTCATCTTCTTGGCCTAAATGTTCCTTGGGCAGCAGAGAAAGTATTCTTTTTAAATTTTTTTATAGTTGTAGATGGACAGCATGCCTTTATTTGTTTAGTTATTTTTATGTGGTGCTAAGGATCAAACCCAGTGCCTCACACATGCTAAACAAGCCCTCTGCCACTGAGCTACAGCCCCAGCTCGAGAGAAAGTATTCTTTAAAGGCAAATCTGAGGATTCCAGGGCTCCACTCTGTCACATTCACAATCCTGGCTTTTGAGCACATGACAGTTTTGTCATTCCCCAGCTATACATTTCCCTAAGATCCCTTTGGTCTCTCAAAAATGAAGGTTATTTTCCATTTAGAAGCTATATGCTGTGCCATTGTATCTATTATTCCTGGAGATTACATAAAACAACAGAGTCCAAAGTAAACTTTACATTATCTAAGTATATAATTTGGTTGCAGTATAAAAACAAGAAAAATAGTTTTAGAGATTCAACTGGAAATATTTACTAATGGGTCATATCATCCTCTTGTTCTTTACTAGAATCTCCCACAAAATTCTTGCTGTTAAATTGGTTATCATCATCTAAAACTGTGCTTTTGAGATATGTATTCTTATATAAGACTTACTTCTTAAAAGTTACAAGGCTATAAATTAATTATAAGAAATCATAATAGAAAACAATATCTCTTCTATTTTTTCCCAAAATCTTCTCCATTTTTGATATATAATATCTGTAAGCCTATATTATAATACAGCCATAAACATTGGACTTTGAAGAAAACTCAAGAAAAAGAACATATAACCTATTTAGAGGAAAATCTCAAGATCCAAAATACAGGTAATCAGAGAAATGCCCATTCACTTGGGAAAATAGTGCCTCAATTTTACATTTAAACTGAGATACATTACTAAAGGCCTTACTCAGATATCACTTCCAATTAACATGACCTGTTAAATGTATTCTTTGTGTAAACAAGACTCATCTTAACAGATACTTCAAAACATACTCCACATCTGCAAAGGGATGTCAGAATGATGAATTTGCTGGTTTTAGAATTTAATTTGGACAACACAAAGCCTGAATCCTTCCCTGAACACTCACCTGTATGCAGTAAGGCCTGTTTCTTTTAGATAAAAGGCCCATGATTAAATAAAACAGGCAAACACTAATGGCCTTGATATTAAATATATTTCTGCCTTACAAACAGTGTTCACATTGCTTACACATTATTTTGTACAGTGGCTTCAAATGATTTTTTTTTTTCCATCTGAATGATGGATTTACAGACAGACTGGCCTAAAGCTGCTTAGATGAATTCAGAGATTAATGGAGGAACACACTGCCTTATGGTTTGCCTTGAAAAATGTCATCTCAGTTCAATTCGTGGATGATTATTAAATCTACTGTGACTTGTTCTAGTTGTATAAAGATTTGTCCAGAATGCTAAGGCATAGGTATGATTTTCCAACACCCACACTCTCCTTTGGCCACCAACTAGAAAGGCTTACTTTTGTATTTACAGAACTTGCCTAACATTTTCCTTTACCATGGAGAACAATTCTTGGAACACCATATCCAGATAACAATTCACCATCTTTGTTAAAGAATATAATAGATAAAGTGGACATGCAAGGGGCTGGAAGTAATCAGGTATGTCCACAACACCTCTCAGGAAGAAAAGGGAATTCCCTGAGTTCTATTACTCTTAAACATCTCCTTTAAAGTCCTCTTAACTTGTATGATGACATGGATCATTCATTCAGAAAGAGGTGCAGGAAAATTAGCTGATCCTGACTATCACCCTTTTCTCAATTTCTATAGAGACCATGACTTCTCATGAGGAGTGGACTACTGAGACTCCCCTAACTTCATCATCCACATAATGTGGGTCAGATCACAAAGGAGCAGGGCTTTGGTTCCACAGCATGCTGGTCTTGTTGGCAGCCTCCATCCATCTCTCTTGAACAAAAACTACTTGTCTTTTATATTCTCCCTTAGTCTTTTTCACTTCTGAGACATTAACATTTGCAAATGAGGTAGGGCTAGCTAAAAGGGTTAAATCACAAGTACCCATAACGGACAAGGCTGTCTACTCCGGAAATTCAGTCCATGGAAAGTAGGTGGAACAAGCCATGTCATTGCACATCCCCAAATTATAGCTCATATTCTTAACACCTTCTTATTTTAAATTCTCACTTAACATTTCCTTTAAAGCTAATGGGCATTTTTCTAATTTTCTTAGCAACATTGCCTGAATGGTATTTCTACTGGTATATAATAAAATTTACCACATATGTTTAAAAGTGTCTAAGATAAATGAACTAGATCCTACCCTTGGGGGAATTTCCTCCAGTCCAACCAAATAAGTGGTGCATACAGGTAGTTTTGAGAATTAGATCACTTGAATGTGATATGGTGCCTTAGGAAACTGTGGATGGATAGACTAGTTTCTGAACTAAGGCTGGGAACAAATTCTTGGAAAAACCAAATGTGAGAAATGAGTAGACTGAATGCTATGCACACACCAGGACTGTGGAAGGAGTTGATTAACGTGCTGGCGGTCACTGCTTCAGGAACAGATCTGGCAGACCCCAGAAGAGGAGACAAAGACCATGAGGATTTGCTTTCTTATAAAAGAGCAAGGAGATTGTGTTCCTTGGAATCACCAGCTCATCCAGCTTCAAAGGACTCTAGTGACTCTTCTCTCTCTGGTTTTGGATGCTCTTCTGAGTTTCTGTAATCACATGACTAAGTTTTGCTGTTCCCTTTTAAACTTAAGTAGGTAATTTTTTTCCCCTTATTACTACCCACAGACAATGCCAATGTTTCAAAATCTTGTCAGGACTTCATTCTTTTCTCTATTTTTATCCAGATGAAACAAGTCAGCGCTGTCTCAAGACCTTCAGTTCTCCCTCTTCCAAGTGTTCCCTCAGAACATTCACAATGCCTTAGGTCACTTTCTAATTTAGTAAGATTATTACCTCCCCTCAGTATCACTTGATCCTTACTGAAATGTTTTCATTCACATTACCTAACTTGATTTTTATAAATTTTATGTGGGTGGCATGAGCATATTTCAGTTTCTTTACTTCTTTATGAAATCAGCCTAAGAAGGTGCTCAGAAGCTGAGGCATCCTCTTGAGAGTCCTAAACTCCACTTACAATCCCTAAAAGCCCCAGGCTGTGTGCTGGGAACTCCCTGTACAGGAGGTTGTGATTTGGACTCATTTAAGTTATATTTTAAATCACAAGTTGATCCTGGCAGGCTGGAAGACTTGAAGAAATCCAGGCAGCTGGGTTCCATCTGGGTTTCATAGGTAATTTAAAAGGACATAGGTAATGATATACTAATAAATGTTTGTTTCCAAGGTCTTCTTTGTAAGTAGTTCTCAATAGTCAGTGGTACTAGCTGTGATTCACAGGCTCCTGTGCCAACCTCTGCTGGGGTAACCCCTTTGTATTTTTTTCACGATAGGTGTATTCATCAAAAGCTACACATTTTGCTTCAACCAGCTTTTTCCTCTCCACCTGCAAACTCATGTTGATATTCTTCTTAACTTGGAGAGTAATGGAAATGGTCTGTCAGTTTCAGTCTACAAATTTACTTAAGGTATGGTCAATAAAGCATTGATCACTATTTATTGAAAACTCGTTTCTACTCTGTGTAGAATATATAATATACCTTTTATTGGTTTTATTCGTTGAAGCACATAGGTATTATTCTTTATGTAGATGGTTATCCTTTATAAATAAAATTTATAACTAAGACTCGGAAATCACAAGCCAATAGTTATGGGTTCAATACTCCTTTACTTGCATGCCCAACTTACTTTCTTTCTAAAAATGATGCTCTTTTTCAACACAGGTTCACCTGTGAATCTATGTATATATGTGTGCATGTATTTGCATGTATATATGTATTTCCTGGTCCATCCAAAGTGACAGGAGAGGCTTAGAGAAACCCTATAAATACACTAACTTTAAAAAAAAATAACACATTTATGAAGACTCACTAAGAAGAAAATAGGTTTGGGCTTAACCACCTGTAAGATAGGAAAATATATTCCTCTCTCTTTGTGTTGTAGAGGATACAACAATTTTCATACC